GTCAAAAGTTATGATAGAACAGGACTGAAATAAGAGGACAGGGAGATGTATCAGGACAGACAGAGGATTGATAGTACAAATGTTGGAAACAAAGATGGTAAAGATATTGATTTCACTTGTCTCGTTGACGAGTTCTATATTGGTGTTGAAAATGGCAAGACTCACTGAGGATGCCGATTACGATACTGGCGAAACGTTTGGGAATGTACCAACTCTGGAAATTATCGCAATAATTGTAGCAGAGGAGTTTGGAAGAGGGGCATCCAACTAGTTCGTCGTGACAACGCCACCAAGTTGCAAAAGCAAGGTCAGACCACTTCGCCAACCTTTTCACACCCCAGGACTAGCCTAGTTTTCTACTGACTTTGAGGATAAAAACTTTTAGAAGTTGTTTGACCTTGTTTTTCCAAATTCGTAATATTGGTAGCAAGACTTAGAGGAACGCACCTTGTCCTGAGTTCATTGTATCGGCTTCACTTGTCTCTTCGACGAGTTTTTGTGTGATGCTAAGAATTGCGAAACTCACTGACGATGCCGGCGAAACGTCCGGGAATGTACCACATCCACGGTCATGCTCTGGAAATGATGATGCATACAATGGACTCAGGACAAGGTGCTTTCCTCTAAGTCTTCCTACGAACATGACCGAGTTGCGAAAACAAGGTCAAACAAATTCTATACAACGAAAGGAGACTGAGATCACACAAAAGGCCACACCATCTTGGTCTTCATACCTTCGATAAAAACATTTACTTGTATTCGTCTTCCCCCCCTCTGGCTAGCATAAAAATTTACTATGAGAGTAAAAAGTGAAAGTTTCTGTCGAGCAGTCACCACGATATCCTCAAAAACTTCTCTAATTCGTGATTTACTTGCTTCTGCTCAGTCGATCATGATGCCGAATTTTGAGCACTTGGCTTCAAATGCCCCAATTCGATTGATTCTAGGCGAATTCTGTTTTTTTGAGTTTACTGAACTTAGGAAACGTCTATGGAAGGTTGGCAAAACTATACAACATTACATTATACTGTACCCTAATGCACAACACCATAATGCGCTATACTATACTATGCTATATTATACAATACTATACTATATTATACTTCATTACATTACACTATACTATAATATACTGTACTACATTATGTTACTAAACAAGTAATTCCAGATAGCCTTAAAGATCTACCCGCTATTTATGCCTGAATTAAATTATATAATCTGACACTAACATCCACTAGTTTCTTATGTCTTTTAAAAGAATGATTACTAACATAATTGATAGAAGTGGATTTATATTTTCTATCATAATCAACAAGAATGTTAGATTATTCGTATATAAGTAGGCTTTCGACACTGTTAGTAGATAATATAATTGAGATGTATCTAATCTATTTCGTTAAGGTGATGAAGGATTATTAGTTGAATTTCCGCTCAATGGTATAAGAAGCCCTTGTATTCCCATTAAATTTTACATGACCCTGCCTCTGATAAGGTATCCTCTTTCAGGTTGAAATGGGCTGCAGAATTGACCTTACCCGAACTGGCTTCTTCAGTACCTCCGGAAGGACTCGAGCCATCATGGAACTCTACTTGTATACGAAAAATATAATATCTATGTCACAAGACAGATGTAAATTTCACGGAAGGCCATGTATTTTTGCATATATCATTCTGTGGTGGGATTGACGATGAAGCCAACTTGTATTAGCTATGGCAATCGAATACATTGCTTATTTCCTGTCGGCAGGTAGGCCAATTTGTCGAGATTATAGGCCGCACTATCATGCTTCGATTCCGCCGGAGATGCTGATGAGACCTAGTCGAGGTCTAAACTGCATTCCACTCCAGCCGGGATGAGAATACAATTGTACAACAAGGCTATGTGAAGTTCAATGAAAACTTAAGGTCAACGAAATATGGTGAATACATCTCATATAATGACATATTCTATCTGGGTATGATTCGACATTTTAGGTAGATCTTGAGTGATAAAATAGGCTATTAATGGCGAAGTGTTGAGACTTGACAAAAATGACGCGATTTCAGGATCCGCTGTAGGAGCTCAACTTAGGCGAGTTCGAACCTATAGTCTAGTCTGGATGAAGAAGCCTGTTGTAAGATAAGAGAACTTATTTGAGTGACCTCATTGCCCGAACCTCAAATATTCGTCCGTACATCACTTTAGACTACCTAAGTTGTCTCATATTCTAATTCATATTTTGCTGGTAATTTCGAAATGCACTTATTAAACATATAGTAAAATCTTCGAATATAAATTAAAGCACGAGTCTGACTTTTCTCTACTAGTCCCACTGGAAAGGCCGTTTGGAAGAAGATAAATAAATAAAACGATTATGACACAGATAGATGAGATTTCCTTTCCAGACATGATTGTAACCTCGACATCAACGGTTCGCACCAGCCCCAAAAATTATTCGAAACCGGCTTTCTCACTCCAAGCAATAGAAATTTAACAGTCTGCCAATGGATATGAATTTTGAGCTTCGCCTAAATCCCTTTATGTCATGGAGTTGATGTCAATATGATGAGAGTGAATGTACCATTGCAGTTGTGTGCATGTATAAATATTTATGTATACATATTGGAAGGGAATTGCAAATTAGTCCCATCGGAAGCCGAAGGAGGATTTGTGTTGCAGCTGTGGCTAGATTCTTGTGTATGAGTCCTCCGCGAATCCTCTCACCTATCCGATAGATCAATGCTGAGCTTTCGTCTGTTTCACCGAAACAGAGATAATCAAAGAAATGGGTCGACCTCGTTGTCGCAACTTAGTCTTGTTGTCAGGGCGACTTAGTAGAACGCACCTAGTCCGAAGTCGTCTTCCTCGTTGTCGCAACTTGGTCTTGTTGCCAGGGCGACTATGTAGAACGCACCTAGTCCGAAGTCGTCTGCACCAGCATCTGACATTGGACTTGAAACTTTCTCAAACGTTTCGACGGCATCATAGTCGGCATCATCAGTCAGTTTTGCCATTCGCCCCACCAAGCTACGAACTTGCCTCTTTGATCTTTGAAATTAGTTCCATCTCCATTTCCCGTTTGGTCTCCTCAGGGAACTTTTTGGCGATATTGATAAGAGGGTAAAGAGTAGATAGATAGGTCAGGACGGAAAGAGGAGTGATAGTGTAACCGTTTTCGGCAGAACCTTTGTCGACGGATTGACTTCACTTGTCTCTTTGACGAATTCGTAGCTTGGTGCGGAGAATGGCATCACTCATTGATGATGCCGACTACGATGCCGGCGAAACGTTTGAGAAGGTACCAAGTCCACTGTCAGATGCTGGAAATCATGACAACTACTATGGCAGATGACTTAGAACTAGGTGCGTTCTACTAAGTCTCCCTCACAACAAGACCAAGTTGCGACAACGTGGTCAACCGATTTCTATAAACCGAAAGGAGACTGCGACCATACCAGAGGCCACAACATCTTGGTCTTTATATCTTCAAGAGATAATCAAAGCATGAAAGTATACTCTACCATAATACCTTCGTGCTTGGGGAATTGTCAAAGAGCCTGTTATCCTACTTTGAACATATCTACCACAGAAAGACAGAAAAAGACTCAGCATGGATTCACCCGAGTCGCGGGATGGTATAGCGAGAACTGATTCGCAATAATCGGCAAGTACATCTCCAAGGTGAATCGTTCTTCAGCTTCCGATAAGGCAAATTGGCAGAGTCCTTCTAATCGCCCCTTCAGATGAAATAAAATTTACGCCAATATTGCTTTTTTAATTGACTATTCGAAACCTAATTTTCCTTTATGTATGACCATTTGTGAAGTGGGTAGGTTAGAAAATTTACAGAAGAATTTGGACAAGGAATTGAGTCATCTTTGTGACAGATTCAACTACAAGTTCCTAAAATCGTCTATAGTGGCCAGGGTGACTCATGTCTTTATTCATGTTATACTGACACCTTCGGAAGTCACTCAAACCCTTGTGAATGGTACCATCAAATGTGAGTGTAAATTCATGCATGCCTCAAAGACATCAGTGCCACTATAAAAGTTCTATAGAAGATGCTTGGCCTGTCACTGACGCCCACACTGGACACCTTTTCTCTGTAGCAAAGTGTTATTGCTGCCGCACAATGCCAGGGACTCGGTTTCCAACTCCGTTGGGGCTGATGCTAAAAATCAGGCAAATTGGGTCGGGGAAAGTCTTTAAAGAGGCGGAGAGAGATCGAATATTGTAACAGTAAGTAATTTTATACTTCCCTTCTTTCAGTCCTTACATCACCTAAAACGATCTAGGGCCAATCACGTTTGTTCAACCGATTCTTTGTGCTATCTGAGCTAGAGATAGAGGCAACCGGGAACGGAATCCTCTAAATATAGGCGAAGATGCTCGATATCCATGACGAGATGAAGATGGGCTAGGTAGCGAGACGAAAAGAGGATACTTTAAAATACAACTTACAAGCGGCTCCAGACAAGACGATGACAACAGTTGTGCCGCCAATGGTTGGTTCGTTGCAGAGAATAGTGATGATGGCAATGTAGATACAGACCATGAGAACTGCGGCTGTGATAAATGTGGCCTGTAGATCACTTGCTAAAGAGTGGAAAGGGGATGATACCACTTGCATGTAACCAAAATAGAGACGGGCAAATAATAATATTCTTTACTTAGTCTACGCTTTCGCGAGCTAACGGCTTGAATTATGATCAACTTATGGGAGCGATGAACTGTTCACGTTGAGAAGAAAAGGATGGTTTGGCAAGACAGTGGGTCCCACTTTGCCTTACCCCAAAGAGACGATTTCTTGTAGGACGGAGTGCCGTTTCGATCCCGATTAGATGTCTTCAACATCTCAGAAATGCTCCAAAGTCCCATCTTGGGAAGTGATCTGACATCACTTTTGCGTTTTAACCGTGTTACC